CTTCCTGTCTAGTCTTTGCCCCATGGGTTTCACCTCCATTATGTGCTCACCACTCTCAAACTCTGACCTCCTGCTTCGAATTCTTGCTTGGCCTTCAGGCTCATATGCAGTTGCGTATGCAGTGCTCCATTTGTGGCTGGTGATATAACTCAATGATAGGTCACTTGAGTTCCCCTTACTGTTGGTCCAGTGATGCCAAACAAACAGCCTTCTATAGAGATAGCTGACTTAACACATTCATTTGAACATCTATGAGATATCTCAAAGTTAACAAGTCAAAACAGAACCATCATCTTCTCTCACTCTTTTGAGCTGTAATATGCAAATCTTGTACTAAAAAATGTTGATGAACTCTTGGACTCTATCAAAAACAATTACACACACACACACACACACACACACACACACACACACACACACACAAAGATTAATTGGGTGAGATGGTGGGGGATGGAGTTAGCGGTGCTTGAATGTAGACCTGACAGCCTGAGTTCGGTCCCCAGAGCCCTGACAGTAAACCGATGAACTGACTCCAGGGTTGTCATCTCATCCTCACACAAGCATCCCTGCCCCCAAACAAATAGACAAAGAGTAACTGAATATGATGGTTTTCTGAGCTTTACTGCTGTGAAGGGACACAATGACAGTTTCAGAGGGCTTAGTCCATTATCATCATGGAGGAGGCTATAGCAGCAGGCTGGCATACACTGGAGAAGTAGCTGAGAGCTTTTACACCCTGTTCCATAGGCAGCAGGCACAGAGAGAGACACTGGGCCTGGCTTGAGCTCCCAAAATCTCAAAGCTCACCCCAGTGACATAGCTTTCCAACAATGCCACCCATCCCAAACCCTCCCAGTCTACCAACCTGAGGCCAAGCATGTAAATATATATAAAACTAGGGGGATCATTCTCATGCAAACCCCCATGAGGCTGCATGCCTAGAATCCCAACACTAGAAAGGCTAAGGGTAGAGGAATGCCACAAGTTTGAGGCCAGCCTGGGATACATAGTAAGAACAAGCTTAACCTGGGAAAACTCTGTTGAGAGAGCAGATAAGCAATAAACTCCCTAACACACACAATTAAAAACTAGCTGTCAAGAATGTCAGACCCAAAACCAGAAAGACTAGGCATAATGGTTCATACCTTATCTATAATCTTAGGACTCAGGAGGCTAAGGCAGGAGGATTGAGATGAGATTATTGCCAATCAGGGTTACATAGTAAGATTCAGTCTTAACATACACAAAGTTCTAGCAAGCCTAAGATAAAATTCTAATACAGCTATGTAAAAGCATTGGATTAAACATAAAACACATTTATAATGTGGATAAAAATCTTTACAAAGGAACAATAATCTCAAGTACCCCTCTCCCCCAAAAGGAGTGGGGCCTTAACAGTGGCGAATGCTACAAGAACTTCCCAGAGGAAAGGAGAGCAGTGGGGCCAGCAGGTGAAGGAATGCATTGGGAACTGGAGAAGCACAGGACAACACTTTCACATCTGAGCAGATATGCCTGCACACTTAGCAAGCATAGGAGTGGAAGGCAGGGTAAGCCAAGCATCCACATCTACCTCAGAACCCATACAACACATCCACATACTTAGAAACAAAGAAGGAGAGAGCACTTTCCCAGCAGAGTCCTGGATTCCTCAAGAACAAGAGAGGTCAGATTACAACGAAACGACACGACACAGGACCTTCCAACTGCTCAGGTCAACTATCACCTCAGAACTCTACACTCAGCTACCTTTCAAGAATAAGGAAGAGCTGATGATGGCTGGGCTGTAACTCAGTGAACGCCCAAGGCCTGGGTCTAATCACCAGCAGCAGCAACAACAAAAAGCAAGAGTTGAATCAGACAGCTTAGGTAAAGACCAAGAATCTGAAAATCAGAAGTTAATAGACTCCTGAAGTTTGTACTTGAGGACTAGGGCAGCTAACTCAGACTAACGGAGAGACACAGAGACAAGGTCTTATGGTACTGTTTACTCTTTTCCATACTTTTGAAACGTTTTTATAAGTAAACATGTAAGATTTAGAAAAACAGACAAAAATGGGCTTTAAAAAGGAATGAAATTACAGCTAAATAAATTCTTAGTGAAGATTTTAAAAAATTGGTAATAGTAACAGACAAGGCAAGGCGTTCCCTCTCCCACGTGATTGTCACATGCTTATAGCTGCAGCCACGACACCACAAACTCTGCACACGCTCAATGGCACTTCACGTTTGCTAACTTGTCCTAAGGAAATTACCAGAAAAATGAGCAAGAAATTCAAAATGTTCATTACAGCCGAGGATTGGTTAAACAAATTATAATATATCCACATGAATATTACTTCCATATAAAAATAGAGTGGTCAAAAATAATATAAACTAGCTGTTGGCTGAGGCGGCCATCTTCCAGTATTCCCCAAAATGGCAAGCACAAAGAGGGCAGGAGAGGCCTCTGCCTTTAAGCCTTAGCTGTTCCTCTGGACGCATCCATACAGGTTTACAAGAAGGGTGAGAAAGATATCAAGAGAATGGGCACTGTTCAAATGAGTGCCTCAGGAAGGTTACTGTGGCAGAACTAGAAGAGTCTACGGCACCACCCAGCATGCTGCTAGCTAGCAATGTTGTTGTGAACAAGCAAATTTGGGTCAAGACTCTTGCCAAGAGAATTACTGTGCACACTGAGCTTACTGAGCGCTCTAAGAGCTGAGACAGCTCCCTGAAATGGCAGAGGGAAAATGACAGAGAAAACAAAGCCAAAGAAAAGGACACCTGGGCTCAGCTCAACACCCACCGGCCAGCCTCACCCACAGAAGCACACTTCTAGAGAAGGGATCAGCGGGAGACTGAGCCCAGTGCACAAAACAGAGAGAAAAGGCCAGACTGTTACAAATATGTATGTGGGCACATGAAATGAGGACATCTGTGACAAAGACAAATAGCTACATTTTATTACACAAAACAGTCATTCCAAAAGGGAGCTATAGTCTCCATTTAGGAAATTCTCTCTACAAAAACTTAACATCTACACACATTGAAATATTGAGTTATTTTGGTGGTAATATTTTTTGACTAATCAAAACTTTCTAAATTTTCTAAAATAAGCATAAGTATTATAAAAATTTTAACTTTCAAATTTTGAGCCTTTTTTTTCTGTACTAAATGATTTGCTGTTTACTGCTTCCTATAAAATGTGAAACCACAAGTTCTTTAAATTCTAGATTGTCCAATAGTGAGAGACAAGTTTACTTAGCATTTCTGTTATTAGTTAGTTCAAGAAATTAATACTGGCATTTCATCATACACTAAAAATAAAAAACCCATGTAAAAAGCTATAAGCATGGAAAAATATGACTAGCAAAAAGGATATTCATATAATACATTTTTCTTACTTTATTTATTTCTTATTTATATCTTTAATTCTTTTTTTCTGACAGATGTGTAGTGCACATCTTTAATTCCAGTACATAGGAAGCAGAGGCAGAGGCAGGTGGATCTCTGTGAGTTTAAGGCCAGCAAGGTCTATACAGAAAATTTCAGGTTAGCCAGAGCTATATAGCCTGTCTCTAAAATAAAATGTACAGAGTTAGGTAGAAAACTCTGTTTTCTTTGAGAGCAGGTCTGATGATAGCCAGCTGGTCCTGAACTCCCAATCTTCACCTTTTAGCCTCTGGAGTGCTGGGATTATAGGCATGTACCACTATGTCTGAAAATCTCTTCAAATCTTATAACATAGACATGATCTTAAATTTCAAATGAAGCATCTTATTTGTTTAATATTTGAAGATTTTCTGGTACCATATTGAGAAATGCCTCTGTTTAAATGGCCCTTCCACTGTTAAGATGATTTCTTCATAGCCTTTGATGCCAAATCCTTACTAGCAAGAAGTCTTGCACAGTAAGCGTTTATGCGCTGAACTGCTAAACGACCTATGCCTGTTTCTTTCACACATACTTAAAATATTTATCTAAGACATCTTGCTTAACATTCTCCAGTAGCTGTCTTCCACTATTATCTTGTTAGCTGTCTCTTCCTCCACTTTCATTTCAAGCATTCCTTCATGGTTTCTTAAAGTTATAAATTTAAATGTAATCTTGCAGTCGCGTCGCCCCCCGAAGTCTTTGCTTCAAAAATAAAGTCACCCAGGATAGACAACACATAGGGGAGGGGAGGGGTGTTGTATAGCAGTAACACAGGCCATGCCTGTAATTCCAGCTCTTAGAAGGCTGGGGCAGGATGACTGAGTTAAGAGGCTACTCTGGGCTACACAGTGAGACCCTGTCTCAACAAAACAAAACAAAACCCAAAAGCATAGCACCTATAATTATGCACTGTACTTAATAATGATAATAAGTAACTATTACTGGTTTATGTATATCTTAGCCTATACTTTTTATTATTAACATGTATCCCTACTTATAAATAAAAGTTTACTGGAAAATAGTATGCCATATTAGTCCAGTGGCAGCTTCATCCATCTGGTATTTGCCTCATCTCCTAAAAGCATCAAGTGGCCATGTCAAAGGGCTGACCTATACCTTCTAGGTTTGTGTAAATACTGTCCTAAGGATACATTTTGAGAGTGTATCCCCACTAAGCAACACACATGTCTGAAAATAAATACATATTTAATTCTCTACATAATTTGATCAGGTAGGTAGTTTTCGCCTTCATTCGCCTGCAGACAGAGAAGAGAGACCTAACAGGTCTAACACTTGGCAGGGTAAGTGCAGACAGCAGGCGCCAGGACCCATACCACTCCCCTGTTATTTCACTACCTTCGTGTGAGGTTCACTCAAGGTTTGGCTTGTCAACTTTTCCACAGATTTCTGTTGGCTAAGTTAAAATACTGGTTCAACAGAACAAAAGAAAGCACTCCTCGAACTGAGAGAGGATGCGCAGCTGATGAAGGTGTGAGCCCCAGTCTCACGCACTCAGGGTTAGCTACAAGCACCCTTCCTGTTGGAATCTCTACACTCCGAGTTAGCGTACTGTGAGCACTGACCAGGATGTGATCTACTCGGTCTCTCTTCTTCCGTCCAAACTTCATCATCTTCTGCCAGTCTGTTTTGTGGTTTGGCTCCTTCTTAAGACTGAACAGTTTGAGTACTTCAGTTGTTATGAAGTGCTGTTGAAATGAGAGGGAGAAGTAAACCACAGGCACACACATCCTTAGAGTCACGTTTACAACGCCAGAGACAGATTTATGCTCACAGAGTACTTCTGGTTGACGAACACAGCTTTCTTCTACTTAATTCCTCTTACAATATGGAGGGAAAAGCATCTCAAACACTCAGACTGTATTCACTTAACAATTTTGTTTTTATAAAACATATAAAAGTAGAACCAATGGTATATCTTTCAAGAAAAGTCACTTCAGAGTTGAGTTTTTAAAAGAACCACTGTTCTTTCAATAATAAACACTTATGTGTTTATGTGTGCAAGTATTAGCATATTCTCATAGGAGGCCAGAGGAGGGTGCTGGATTCCTTGGGGCTGGAGTTGCAGTCTGTTGTGAGCCACGCAACATGGGTGGGTGCTGGGAACTGAACTTGGGTGCTTTGTAATAGCAGTACACATGTGTAACAGCTCAGCTCTCTCTCCAACATGTCACTGCTCCGAGCTGGGAACTACCACGTGAGCAGCTGGGAGTACTACTGCACTAGAAGAGCACACATCTCCATCTCAAACATTATACAGAAACACTGACAGCACTTCAGGAGGAGGGGAATGGCAAAGTTCTGCTGCTTTGTTTTGGTTTTTGAGGCAGAGTATTATTACTTTGTGGCCCAGGCTGCCCTCAAACTCATTGTAATCCTCCTGCCTCAGCCTGCATATGCTGAGATTATAGACATGTGCCACTATGTGCATCTGTAGCATGGGAATTTAACTATTAACAGTATCTAATCAACCATCCTTAAAAACCCATTTAAAATTAAAAATATTAAAAACTTAAAGTGAGTATGGAGTATGTACTCTATGCTTCATGCATACACAAATGACAGGCAGTATCTAGTCTATGTTTCATGTATATACATATGATGATGGCCTTTATATTATGGCCTTATTTTTAGCTCATTATATTATTAAAAATTTATTTTTTAGCCTAGCAGTGGTGGTGCACGCCTTTAATCCCAGCACTTGGGAGGCAGAGGCAGGCGGATTTCTGAATTCGAGGCCAGCCTGGTCTACAGAATGAGTTCCAGGACAGCCAGAGATATACAGAGAAATCCTGTCTCAAAAAACAAAAAAAAAATTATTTATTATTACTTTTGAAGGTATTTCAATAAGCAATGATCTCAGTGGAGGAGCAAGATACATTTATATGTCAGAATCACTGGACAAGGTTCTCAAACTGCTGATGTGAGCCCCAAATTCTACTACTCTGTCTGTAGACAGGCACATGATGTACTCAAGAGATTTATTAACTTGGATGAGTACAGGGTGTAAAATGTGGAGTGTATTTTGAAAATGTTTCTGTAAAGGATCAGATGTAAGTAGTTCAGGTTCTGCAGGTTGCATGGTCTTCGTCATGTACCTGTCTTCTACTACTAGAGAAGGAAAGCAGTAAACACAAGGAAGTCTGGCTGTGGTCCACCAACACTTGATTTGTAAAGGCTATAACTAGATATGGCCCATGGGCCATAGTATACCAACCTCCAACCACACATAACATAGCTTATAGATAAATTAGTGTCTGCAAGCATAAAATCTTTTTAGAAAACTTTTTATGATAAAGTAAGTTTGAAAAACTCAACTCTTAAACCTCACTGCTCAAGAATAGCCCTGGAATCAACAGTGTTAACAATTGCACAGTTGAGAGCAGCATTTCAGCCTCTTCCCTCTGAAGCTTTTGATGTACACTAACTCTGAAAAGGAAACTTCTGTAGCCAGGCCTGGTGGCTCAAGGCCGTCCGTTCGTTCGTTCGTTCTTTCGTTCGTTATCTCAGCACTTGGGAGTCTCAAAGCCAAAGGACTGTGAGTTCAAGGTCAGCATAGGCCCCATCTCAAATAACACACAACAACAACAAAAACAACAACAAAACTAGCTGACCTAAGAAAACACATGAATATGTATGTAAGACCTGACAGTCCAGTGCTTAAAGGCCAGGAGCCGGTTCACAGTAACCCTCTATCACTGTTGACTCCACGAACAACTAACGACTCATGGTATACAAAGACAGGTGCCCACTTCTATGTCATTTATAGATCTGTATAAATAAATAGGAAACCAAAGGAGAGAACTGAGAGTTTGCAGCTTACCTTGATTTCCTCAAGGTTATTTGGGTTTTTCACACGTCGGAAATAACTAGAATTGATTCTACATGGCTTCATCCAGACAGGCTGGTTCAAGTTGGGATCCTCAGCAAAGATTTCCTCAAAAATCTCTTTTGTTAAATCAAAAACCGCCTTAATAGAGAGAAAAGAAAGGGGAAAGTAGAAAAAAGAAACAAAACAACAGTAATAAAGTGGCTGGGAATCCAAATTTCAGACAATGGGTAAGGAACTAAAGAACAATAGTATTTTGTTACCTGCTTGTAGACTCTTCTACTCGTGCTTCCTATGTCTAGACCTTTACTGGCACAGCCAAGGAACTTGGTGGGAATACTGAGGCCATGAAGGTCCTGACCTAACTCTTTCCATTTCCAAAGCTCCTCTGCTGCATTATGTACAAGGCTTTCGACTTCTTCTGCCGTATGGGGAACTGCCAATAATGTCTCACATGGCTTCTGGGGTGCTCGTTTAGGTTCTGCCATTAGAGGTACAACTGTTTCTTCTGCCTTACTCTTTTGGATCTTGTGAGAAGAGCTCAAACCAAAATCTTCATCAAACCAGTCTTGATCGTCCAATGCGCTCAGGAACTCTCTGCGGATCTCAAGTTCAGCAAGTCTCTTAGCCAGCTCTTCCTGCCCACTGGCACCAAACACTGGGCTCTCCTGTAGAAACAAACATTCAAATAAAAGACCATTTAGTGACTTCACCTTACTTAGCAGTTTTTGAAAGATAAAGCACACCTATTACTTATGTGTTTTAATGTCTCTCTAAGAACTGTAAAATTACAAAATAATGGTCACTGATGAATAAGAAAAACCTATCTTCTTTCCACTCTCTGCTTATATAAACCTAGCCATTAAATTTTATAATAAAATATTTATTCATTAGTTTGTTCTTTCCTTTTACATATCATTAATCATTCTATTTCTGAAGGACTATCACTAAGATTCTGAAATGGGAAATGAAGATTCTTACCTTTGGTGATTATCTGGCTCAAGTTAATCAAAATCATTACTTTCCTTAGTTATCCATGGGCAACCTAAACAAGCTGACAGACTGAGTCTATGTCATAGAGGGTGTGTTTCAGTTTTATCAGAATCATCTCCACAACCGCTAGTCTCTGTAGGGTACCACAAATAGAATAGATAGGTGAAACAGACCTGGGGTGAGAACCACTGGGACGTTCCAAAGACTGTGGACGGAGATATAACATGTGGACTGTATACGGGGGCCATCAATATAGTAGTGTAAAAGAAGTTTCAGTTCCCACAACCTGACAGTGTTCACGACAACCCTATGGTGACTGCTCATGACATAACAGAGGGCAATTATACTTCAGACAGAAAAACAGCTCAAGTACTCTAAAAACAGTATCTAATGAGCAGGAGGCTGGGGAAATATCCACCCCAAATAGAACTAGTGTATGCTACAAAGGAAGGTAATCAGACTCTTCTCTAGATAAATACTCACAGGTCTGGGACACATATCTGGAGAAGAAATCTCTTCTTTTTCATCTTCCAATTCAGGCCTTAAAAAGCAACTTGGAACACTGGGTGATTGGTCCTCAGTATTTTGGGGTGGGTCTTGGGGTGGTACTTTTTTCTGGTCAAGAAACTCCTGATTGCTAAGCTGGATTTTCTCATTTCTAGCCCTTTTGACTTGTTGTAGTTGACTGACTGTGTCTTTCACAAAGACTTGTAACAAACTGTCTGTTAGTAAGCTGACTGTCTCTAGTTGTTGCTTTGACTTTTTTTCTTCACTTATTGATGACTTCAGCTGAGCTTCTAATTGGTTTTTTTCTCTTGTTAAAAGATCCAGAAGAGGGGTAGAAGGCTTTTCTGAAATTTGAGAATAAAAGTTCTCTTCCTTCTCTGCAGGCTGCTGTTGCTTTGATTCTTTAGAACACGTGCTGTCTGAAGTAGTAGCACCTGCAGCAGCAGGAACACTTTCTGTGGCACTGGAAACAAGGACTTGGTTCTCCTTACAAGAAATCAGAGGATCTACTGAAAACTCTTGGTGATCATGGACTTCTAGGATCTCAGAAGTGTCTGTTTCTATATTAAGGCTTCTATCTTTATCTACTGAGGCTTCTGTATTCTGCATACTAGGTAGTGATTTCTCACAAAAATATTCAGCTATATTGTTTTCTCTGTCTTTTAGACATTTTATATCTTTCTGTTCTTGATTATAGGGTTGGTACTGTTCATCTGAGTAAGATTCTTCATCTTCATTTATGTCTATATAGTCATCAAAGTTTTCTAGGAGGTGAGATATTTTTTGAGGAGGAGCAAAAATACCATGCTTGTCTTTGCACACAAAATACACAATCCCATCATATGTCCCATTGTTGTTTCCTTCAGGCTTATCCAGTTCTACTCCAGCCCAAAATCCTTTAGCAAAGTCAGTCTCACCTTTGAACCGAAGAGTACCTGGCTGAACATTGCCAATCAACACCCTATCCCCAATGTGGAAATCTAGTAGCTCCTCTGTGGCAGAAGCTGCAGCCAGGGGGAGGGGCTCAGTACCCCCCTGCTCATGGCCCACGTCGCTGCGCTCCTTGCTCTTCATTAGCTCCGTCGGGGACCTGAGCTCCAGCAGCCTCTCCGAGTGGACACCACTGTGAACAGAGAGGCTTTTCTCACCGAGGCACTCACTGATCTCCTCATCACTTCCAGACCCAGTGGTTCCACTTCTAGAGCTCCTCGTGAGCTGTGACTTCTCTCTGTGAGACTCAGAGTCTTTCCTGAGTGACAATGATGACACCTCAGAGTCATCTTTACTAATCTCATCAGCAGAAATCCCTTTCTTGAAAGAAGACACTTCAAAATCTTCAGAGTAGGATGACTCTTTAGGAACAGAAAGGCGTCCTGACAACGTGGAGTCCCCATTCTCTCTGCATTCTTGTTCAGGAATGCCTCCTGCTGACTGGATGTCTTGACTGCTGCCATCTGTACTTTGATTGGACTGATTCTCTTTCAGTACTTTCTCTTTTTCATGAAACATTTCCGTGGCTGTTTTAACTAAGTCTTGCTGCACATTTGCAGAGTCTGAGGGAAGCTCTTTATCTGACAGGGTTTCAGAGGTCAGGTCTAGTTTCAGTAGGACTTCAGATCCCCCTGACTGCTTACAATAGGGATCTTCAACCTCACTCTTCTCCAGTTTCATGGATTCTATTTCTTGTATTTCTGATTTCTGACTAGAATCTTCAGCCTTAGCCTCTGACACGTCATAAATCTGATCAGGTGCATTTAATTCCTTCACAGGAGATAATGAGGGTGTGCTTTCCAGAGAATCTCTAGACTCTGTCTGCGTTTTTCTTGATGACAGAACTGGAGATGAGGCTTGCAAATGGTCTATCCGGCTGTCCAACTCAACCCCTCTCTTTGCATAGGCAGATAATGACTTTTCTGATATGGCTCTCTCAGAACATGATAATGAAGAATCTTAAAGAAAAAAAAAAGATAAAATTATTTAATCACAATCTTTCAGTTCTGAGACCCAAAATTTATATAAAAGCCAACTCTCAGTTAAGAAAAGCTCTTGTCAATAAATATGATTTGCTCTGTTTATCATATAAGGTTGTTTTTATTTTTTAAAAATCTACTGTATTAAGAATAAATAGAATGTTAAAAATTTTTTAAGTTTGGAATAATTTATAAAGTAACAGGGACTAAGTTTATGACACCATTATTTAACATGATCATTGGGAACACGACCATGGGAAAGCAGGCTATATAAAGAACGTTTTGTCCTCAAGCACAAGAACATGGTGGGGATATATTTCTATTATTCCTCTTAAAAATGAATTTTTGGTGGCCAGAGAGATGGCTTAATTGTTAGGAGAATTTGCTATTCTACTAGAGGACCCAGGTTCATTTCCCAGTACCTACATGGCAACTCAGAACCATCTGTAATTTCAGTTTCAGGGGACCTCATGCCCTCTCCGAAGGCACAAGACACACATGTGGTGCATAGGCATACATGTAGGTAAAACGTCTATACATATACAATAAAAAGTTTTTAAAATGTAATGAATTTTTCTGGAGACCCTAAGTTCTCTAATATGTATGTATATGTGAGAGAAAGAAAAAGAGGGGAGGAGAATGAAAATATGAGATTATTTCTGCAAATTTATGACTTTAAGGGCTAAAGTAGCAAACTAAAAAGAAAGTATGATATAATGAGTTAACAACTCAGGTTTTGTATTCAAATCTCCACTTTACCATTACTGGCAGGAAGGTAGCTTTTATTTGCCTCAATTCAGTTTCTTCATATGATTACATTTTGTTTTCATTTTCTAGTAATTGTTACCTTTGAGCTAAATTGAAAAACTTCCAATTATTTAATCACATTACATAACAGATAAGTAATGGATCGCGGAGGGTCGTAGAGATGTTGATAGTGTGCAGCAGCTTGACTTCCATGCCTCCCTGGTTATCAGGAACGGGGGAATAGAAAGTGTTTAAAAGAATTTAGTGCTGGGGCACAAGTTCCCAAGAGACACTGCACTTGGGATTCTAAGGTAAAATGGTGACCTAAGCCTAAGAGTCTCACTTCAGAATAAGCAACAATCCAGACCCTGTCAGAGAACAGAACAGAGCAAGGAGAAGTGGGAGTACTGAGCATGCTACATAACTGAGGAAACGGACTTTCCCAAATCAAAAAGCT